CTCCTCCACCTGAAGCTCGGGTCCTCTGAAAAAGGGGTTGGCAGCCCAGAGTAGACGCTCTGAGGTCCAGCTACCAGGGAGGCGCCCCTCCGAGGCAACTCCTTGGCTTTAGCTCAGGCCCAGCAAGGCCTCTGCCGCTCACCCCTCGGGGGGCAGGAAGAGACGCTAGGTGCCATTCAGAGGCATCCATCTCGGCTCCAGGCAGCAGGAAAAGCCCTGGAGACCAGCTCCCCCCAGCGGGCCTCAGGCTCACCCCAGCAGAATGGGGCTGGTGAGGCCCTGGCTGCTGCACAGCGGGTAGGGTCCTGCAGCTCTCTCCCGCTCCTCTCGGGTGGGCACCCCTTTCCTGCTTCAGCGTTCGGGACAGAACAGCAGGAGATGGCGCGTGCTGGCACCAAGGCCTGCAGGCACAGGCAGTAGCTGCCCTGGCCTCAGGCTCTGAGAACTGCAGGGCCTCGGGGGGAAACGAGCCTCAGGCGTGTCTGGAAGGTCCTTCACACTCCCTGGGCCCCACCCTCGCCTGCGCTAAAGATTCTCCAGGCTGCAGAAAAGCAGAAATCCAGTCTGGGGAGCGCGGGGCAGGCCGAATGCCCCAGGAGCAGCGCCCACCCCAGCCTGGCCACAGGATAGAGCTGGAGACAGGCGTGCCTTCCTCGGGCCTGCCCGTCCGCTCTAAGCCTACCCCCTGGCAGGGCAGCCCTTCCTGCGGGGAGCACTGCGGGGCCCTGCCCCTGGCACCCTGGTCCCGAACCCAGAGCCCAGGATCTGACATCTGGGGGCTGCGGAAGGGGCACCGGAGACACGAGCTGGACTCTGTCCCCCGAATGCTGGCAAAGCCCCACTAGGCACGTCCTAGCCCAGTCCCAGGACCTGGGCGGCACGTGTGTGTCACACATAGGAACCACGGACTTCCCGAGCGTGGCATCTTGCAGACCAGCACTGATGGCCACACGAGAGGCACGGAATCCCCTCCCGGGGAGGCCAGGGACAGGAGTGAAGGGCAGGCAGGGGATTTCCAAGAGAGGAGAGCTCCATCCAGGCACCACAGGGCTGTCCTGAGCAGGGGCTCCCGCCTGGCTGCCCGAGCCCCACAGGGACAAGCACGGCAGGGAGAAGCAGAGGGCCAGGGCCAGGGCCAGGCCAACAGACAAGGTGCCTCTGCCCTTGGGCCTGGGCCCTCCCCAGCTCGTCCAAGTCCGTCCGCTCCCACCCCAAGGCTTCCCTTGGTCTCTTCATGCCCAGAACCGAGGGTCAGCCACGCCACTGGGACAGGCTCCAAAGGCCACTGCAGGGTGGCCTCTGGCGTCAGTGTGGACAGAGCTCTCCTTCTTTGGGACAAAGCTGCAGCCTGACATGCAGGGCCTCCAGGCACACAACACACAGGGGCGGGGCGGGGGCTGAGAGAGACACCAGAGGCGGTGAGCGCAGCCTGGCAGAGCCACTCAGCTCCCACAGGCTGCACTGGACTGGGTGGCAAAGACCTCGAATCGGGACACGGAGACAAGCGTGGACGGAAGGTGTCCACAGAGCCCGAGAGACTAAGGCTCTCTCAGACAGAGGAAGATTTGGGAAGGCGCTAGACGTGAGCTGGCTGAGTCGCAGGCTGTCTGCCGGGGAGGGGC